CAAACACCAGGCATGGGTCACTGGCCAGCATGGATTTAGCACAAGTGTGGCAGGACGTATACCCTGGTGAGCGTGGCATCGTTCTGGCACCCAGCCCTGTACTAAAGAATGAAAAACGTAGTCCAAAAGACCTAAGACTAAACCTATCAGTAAAAAAACTAGCTAAAACTAACTTATCTTAACTAACTAATTCCTAACACAAAGGAGTGAGGGAAGCACTTGTGATAAGTAGTCTAAGATCACTCCAACAACCATCGCTGGCAGTAAGAAGGAACTGAGAGGGGTCAGTGGGCAGCTCCATCCTCTTATACCAGTGCACAGCGGCATAAGGCAATAGAGGGAGCTTGAGCTGACCTGATGGGTACCACTGAGGGAAAAAGTTCTCGAATAACTGTGCCCGAGGCGAACACAGACATACAGCAGAATGGACATGTGTGAGCACTTGATGAAGAACTACATAAGTCGATTCAAGAAGGAGCTGGCCACATTTGTGGAAGAGAAAAGACTACAAAGACGCAGTTACTAGAGATTGGGGATCGCAATAAGGAGATACAGGTTGACTCACTTTTGCTGGGTTTATAAGAAGTCACCTTTAATGACCTACACGGCCTCCTCTTGACCCCTAACTTCTTGGTGGTTTTTCAGAGATCAAACGACTGTTTTCTTCATTCACAAGAAACATTTAAGAGGTAAAAGTTAAAAGGTTCAAATAAGCACTCCTGTGTGCACAAATCTAGTTGTAATGAGCTACTATTAAGCAGTGAAATGCCCATGGTCCACGCTGGCCAAATAAGTTCCTGAAGTTTGTGAGTAACACACTGACAGTGTGTGTGATGCAGCCAATATTATTTAGTCTTGAGGGGACGATAAGATAGTTTCAAGGTGGCAATGCACTGTGCTTGCATACAGGAATCTGAGGTAACGTATTCAAATGGTCAATCGGGCCTCAGTTTGGCAATTGGTTGTAGAACTGATGGTCTCATGTATAACAGAGGAGGGAGAGAGGCCAAGAAGATTTTATGTTGCTACAATGGGGGCCCACCGCAGGACCATTCTGGTGGGATGCAGGACTTTAAAGTAGGCCTCTGGATGGATGGATCAGTGCCAGCAAGGTCCTAATAGAGCAACAGACTATGCCTAACATTGCATGGATGAGTAAGATGTTTGAGGAGGAAGTTTGAAGAGATGCAACTGCATCTAATGTAAGACTGCAATTATTTCTGATTTTTTTCACCACTAGCAGTCAAAATGCAGTTACAATCATTAGCAACTAGCATTGCTTCCCAAACCAGAGGCAACAACAAATCATGAGGAACTCACTTAGGAATTCTCTCTTGCCTCTTTCCATTTGTTATCAGTTCCACAGCTGAGGGTTATGTGAGCATGCGGTATGATAAAATCATAAGCAAAATATAGAGAGCAGCATGAAAGCACAACCCTTCACCTTTCTTACTTGTGTAGATCTATTTAACAAAATGCCCATGATCTTACTGACTTACAATGACTGCTAGATAGAGCTGGTCAAAAATTGGAATTTCTATCCTGTGGGAAATTCCGTAATTTGTTTTCACCCTGAATTGTGGTGAAAAGTCAAAACTTTCAAATTTTCGGTGGAACAGAAAGTTCCAAAATTTTTATTTCTGAGTGAATTTATGAACTGAATTCAAACATTTTATTTCATCTGGTTTGACACTCACCTATGTAACTCTGAGCTGAGCAGAGCCTCGTGGGAGTTGTAGTTCGAATGCCTCGTGCCCCCATTCTCTACCAAGGGCTGGGCTCCTGCATCGGTTCAACCAGAGGAGAGACTGTAGTCCACTCTCGGAGATCAGTAGTCCAGCCAAGGACTGTAGCCTATAGAGAAGTGTGGAATGAGGCACCCAAGCTACAATTTCCATGAGGCATCATGACCACTCAGACACAATTTAATATCAAACTGACCTGAAATGAAACATTTGATTCAGTTAGAGGAACCAAAATATTTTGATTTGGGCTGACATATTTTGTTTTGATTTTCTCAATGTAAAATTGAAAAATGTTGGCAAAATTGAAATTTTTGCATGGAAAGTTTTAATTTTGTGGCAATTTCATTTTCTGTGGAAAAAAATATTTTAACAGAAAATTCCTGATCAGCTCTACTGCTGGACAAGACCCCCTTAACTATAACCAGAGCCATCCCTTGGGTAAGGCAAATCAGGGCAACCGCTCCGTGCAACGTGCTTTGGTGGGCCCCGCATGTCGACATCTCAGTGCCAGATGGGGTGAGGACACCAGCTGTCTGCCTTGAGCAGTGAGCAGAGCAGACAGAGGCAGCCAGCGAGCAGGAGGCAGTGTGGTTTGTCTGGCCCTGCCTCCCCCCCAGACAGCTGGGCTCCCCTGTGGCACCTGCGCACAGATCACGCGGTCCCTGTCTCCTCCCTGGGCTCTTGGGCCCCTGCCGGGCCCCGGGGCAGTGCTGGCAGGAGGTTGCTGCGCACGCAGCTCCCCGGCCCCGTGCGGCCACCCTGGTACCACCATTATTCGAATGCTGAGGCCAAGGAGTGTGGGGATGCCAGCCAAGGCTGGGCAGGAGGCAGCACTGTCACCCAGCGGAAGGGCACCCCCGACCACCAGTGGATGCGCTTTGCGCCAGGTAAACTTCCTCGGCCCACGCCCCGTGGAGCAGCTGGAGCCCCATTGCCCCCATCAGTGCGCCCCGTGCCCCATCCAGTGCCCCCATGGGAGACCCAGTGCACCCCTTGCCCCAAGGGGGGCCCATATAGGCTGATTTGTCCCAGGCCCCACACCCCCCTAGGGACAGCCGTGAGTATAACAGTTCTCCCTGGCCTTTGAATTCTCACCCAGAACTATGTCAGTTATGTAAATAACAACCACTCACTACATCTGTGCACCAGCCACTAAATGGCACATATTTCTGAAAGATATGAATAGTGAGGTCATATCTCCTGTTATTTTTCAAATCCTAACCTATGATTACGACATCTCCACTCATCTGTCATTGAAATATACATAAGAAGGTTTAGTTTGCTATTTAAAGGCTGTGCAGAGGTTTGAGTCCACATTTCACTGTCGTTAGTGTTAAATTTCTGTTTCTTATAAACAAAAGAGAGGTTTTGGTACTATTTACTTTCAATACCTCACTCAAGCCCAGGAAAGCAGCACAGTTTCTGAAGGTGGTCCAGCGGGACAGTGCTTGATCTGGCATTTAAGAGAGCTGGAGTTTGTACCAGCACTGCAACTGTAGATCAGATTTATAAAGGTATTTAGACACTTGAAAATGCAGATGAGTGCCAAGTGGGATTTTTCAAAAGTGTCTAGGCACCTAACTCCCACTGAAATCAATTACAGATAAGTTGACATGGCATAATCCTTCTGTTAGGATTTCAAAAATAACAGGAGATATAACCTCACTGCTTGTATCATTTAGAAATAGGTACTAGTTAATGGCTGGTTCATGGACTGAAATCAATGGGAGTTAGGCATCTAGGTGCTTAGGAAAAACCTACTTGGCACCCAAATATCTTTTAAAATCTCATGCCTGTGTGGCCTAAGAAAAGCCACCACATCTCTTTGGGCCTCAGTTCCCCAGCCAATAAAATGAAGATAACACTACTTATATTATTAAATACAGATATTATTAATAGTAAACTAACTGGGGAAGGGATAGCTCAGTGGTTTGAGCATTAACCTACTAAACCTAGGGCTAGGAGTTTAATCCTTGAGGGGGCCATTTAGGGATCTGGGACAAAAAACCATCTGGGGATTGGTCCTGCTTTGAGCAGAGGGTTGGATTAGATAACCTCCTGAAGTCCCTTCCAACCCTGATATTCTATGAACTGCTTGGGTGCCAGCTCTGCATAATGGCAATGGAAACATAGTGCAATGTTAATGTGAAGTCAATTTAAAAAAAAACTGTGAATCCTGGAAGAAAACTCAGTGGATTAGCAACTGACTATATATATAAAACTCAGTTCCAAATTGTGATTTCTTTTCAACACAATATAGGGGTGAGAGGAAGAAAATCCTAACTGCAGCAAAGCGCTTTGATAATCCTAATGCATAATCTTCTGTAAACACAAATGGTTTCTTCATGAGCGTTATTGTTGAGAGATGGATATACAGTGGATGTATCGACACTTCTCTTTTGCTTGGGTATGATTCTTAAAGGCTTTTGCAGGGTGTGCTTTGACATTGTGGTATAGAGTTCGCTGATTAGTCCTGAGACAGATGGCAGTGAACTCTATTAAGTGCAAATCAACATCTCACCCATTGTCTCACATGCTGGTGACCCTCAATGGAATGTAAAACAGGCTATCTTAAAGAATGCTTCTAAATTAGAGCCGGCATGTATATTACACTAAACAACTGACTCACTTAGCGATCATTGCTTCCTGAGTGACATCTGACCATATAAAACGGAATCACCATCCAAAACTGAAATGAAGTAAAAGTGCTCAGGCTATCAGAAAATCTGCTAGAATTGGAGAGCCAGGAACAAAAACGGTCTGTTGTTTTGGTTGTATTTGTTATGTGGCAGAGAGACACTAGAGAAGACTAACCCAATTGGCACAGTGCACTTCACCTGCTGGCTGGATGTATTGTGTACCTCACTGCAGTCACACAAACCAGGCTCCATGTGGTCCAAAGGACTGGCTTCAGCATCTTTCTACTAGAACACTTTCCACAGTGGATGCCCTTAAAAACTCACCAGTTATAGATTAGGAGCCTGATCTAAAACTAACAGAAAGCCTTTTACTGATTTATTGAGCTTTTGATAAAGCCAGACATAGGAGTCAGTCAATATCAGCGGTATTCCCTATACTTGTAAGAGACAACACCTAGAATGCTGTAAATGCTGAACTCATATTATTAAGTGGGCCAAGGGACTGTCTGTGGAAACTAGAAAGTTTTGAAGGGTGACCACTCCCTGCCTGTGTTACACCTTTCACATGGTTAAGGCAACTCTGAAGTTTATGAAAGAGGAATATAAAAATACTCACAGGTCGATAGATCTTGTAAAGATAACCGACAGGGTAAGAAGAATGCACCCAAATGGACCAGTTTCAAACTGGAAGGAAAAAAAGTTCCACTGTATTTACATGTGTTTGTTTATTGAATATGCTTTTCAGCCCTCGCATAAGGAGATGCACCTCCAACTAAGGTCAATAAGACTCACTCCCATTTACGTTATGGTCTGAATTTGGTCCTTCATCTTTTTCAAACATGGGTCGCATCAGCGTCATACCCAAACCGTTGTTTATACAGTTTTCTACGAAACGTTAAATACTGAAAAAATAACAGCTGAACAATGACAAGTTGAATTTCCTCTCCATGCACCATACCTGATGAATGTTCTGCTGAAGAAAAATGGTCAGATCTTCATATTTTGTGACACTATGTAGTATTAGCTGGAACAAAATGTAAAATAATGCAATTAAAATAGATAACAATAAGCTGGTATAAATCAAGCCTGAATTATTTAAGTAACGAAAATCTGAATGTTTGGCCAGATCCTCAGCTGGTGTAAATTGGATCGGATCCATTGAAACCCATGATGTTCACAACTCTCACTTTTTTCAGCAAAGTTACTAAAATGAGAGCGACAACATTGGTGAGGTAATTGGTAAAGTTGGGAGGTATTGCCAATTCGGAGAAGGATCGGGATATCCTGCAGGGAGACTTGGATGACCTTGTAAATTGGAGTAATAGTAATAGGATGAAATTTAATAGTGAGAAGTGTAAGGTGATGCATTTAGGGATAACTAACAAGAATTTTAGTTATAAGCTGGGGACGCATCGGTTGGAAGTGACGGAGGAGGAGAAGGACCTCGGAGTCCTGATTGACCGCAGGATGACTATGAGTCGGCAATGTGACGTAGCTGTGAAAAAAGCTAATGCGATCTTGGGATGCATTAGGCGAGGTATTTCTAGTAGGGACAAGGAGGTGCTGCTTCCGTTATACAAGGCGCTGGTGAGACCTCATTTGGAGTACTGTGTGCAGTTCTGGTCTCCTATGTTTAAAAAGGATGAACTCAAACTGGAACGGGTACAGAGAAGGGCCACTAGGATGATCCGAGGAATGGAAAACCTTTCGTATGAAAGGAGACTCGAGGAGCTCGGTTTGTTTAGCCTAACCAAAAGAAGGCTGAGGGTAGATATGATTGCTCTCTTTAAATATATCAGAGGGATAAATACCAGGGAGGGAGAGGAATTATTTCAGCTCAGTACTAATGTGGACACGAGAACAAATGGATATAAACTGGCCGTGGGGAAGTTTAGGCTTGAAATTAGACAAAGGTTTCTAACCATCAGAGGGGTGAAATTTTGGAACAGCCTTCCGAGGGAAATGGTGGGGGCAAAAGACCTGTCTGGCTTCAAGATTAGGCTAGATAAGTTTATGGAGGGAATGGTTTGAGGGGATAACGTGATTTTAGTCAATTAGGCAATAACGTGCCATCGCTGGTAAAATGAGGATCCAGCTGGAGAATCTTGTCTGTATGCTCGGGGTTCTACTGATCGCCATATTTGGGGTCGGGAAGGAATTTTCCTCCAGGGTAGATTGGCAGAGGCCCTGGAGGTTTTTCGCCTTCCTCCGCAGCATGGGGTAGGGGTCGCAAGCTGGAGGATTCTCTGTGACTTGAAGTCTTTAAATCACGATCTGGAGACTTCAACAGCTCAGTTAAGGGAAAGTGGGTGGGTCAGCTTATGTGGCCTGCATCATGCGGGAGGTCAGACTAGATGACCATAATGGTCCCTTCTGACCTTAAAGTCTATGAGTAATATATGGTGGGGTATTATCTTACCGACCTTGTCTCGCTCATATCCTGGGACCAACATGACTACAACAACACTTACCAAAATAATATATTTTAAATACTATTTTAGCTATAAAATTCATATATTCTGAGAGCTCTTTTAAAATGTTAGTTCCTGATATGTGAAATTTATTGCATGGAAGTTCATTATTAATTTAAGAATGATCTGTGGGAGGAAGGGCAATTCTTGGAACCAGCTTAGGAGTACCAAATCATTGGAGATTTTTAAGAGCAGGTTAGACAAACACCTGTCAGGGATGGTCTAGATAATACTTAGTCCTGCCATGAGTGCAGCGGACTGGACTAGATGACCTCTCAAGATCCCTTCCAGTCCTACAGTTCTATTATTTCAACAGTGTCTGTTCTTTATCACTGATTTACACCCCTTGATTTTGAGGGGAGTAATAGTCTTGAGGCCAAAACATGGGACTCAGGGTCAGGAGAGATGGTTATATTTCTGGCTTTGCCATGGGCTTCCGGTGTGATTG